TCATTAATTATATAAATTATAAATTTTACATGTCTAGTAATTAAATAATATTGAAATATTGAAATATAACTGTTTTATGGCCTGTATACTAGTTTCCCACTTCCATGATTTCTATAGTTTTCTCTTACAGCATGTTTGGTTCACGGAATGAATTTTGAGGTAATAGGAATGCTATTCCATAATGAATGGAATAGGCAAGGAATAGAATAAGAATTGTATTCTATTGTTTGGTTCGCATAAAGAATAGACTTTAGGAATTATATTACAGTGTTTGGCTGATTTAAGGAATAGAAATGAAATATGTTTTAAAAGACATAAATACCCTTATAAAAATATGTGATGGTGGTGATGGTGGTGGTGGTGATGGCGATGGTGGTGGTGGTGGTGATGGCGATGGTGGTGGCGGTGGTGGTCATGGTGTGGCGGCGGCGGTGGTGGTGGTGCTGGGTTGTTAGTGGTGGTGGTGGCAGTGGCAGTGGTGGGGGCGGCGGTGGTGGTGGGGGTGGCGACGGTTGTGGCGATGGTGGTGGTGGTGGAGGCGGTGGCGATGGTGGTGGTGGTGGTGGTGGCAGCGGTGATGGTGCTGTGGTGGCAATGATGGTGGGGGCGGCGACGGTTATGGCGGCGGTGGTGGTGGTGGTGGCGGTGGTGCTCCTGGGTGGTGGTTCTGTTGGCGGCGGCGGCGATGATGGTGGTGGTGGTGGTGGTGATGGTGGTGGCGGCGGCGGTGGTGCTGGGGTAGTAGTGGTGGTGGTGGCGGTGGCAGTGGTGGGGGCGGCGACGGTTGTGGCGATGGTGGTGGTGGTGGCGACGGCGGCGATGGTGGTGGTGGTGGCGGCGGCGGCGGCGGCGGTGATGGTGGTGGCGACGACGGTGGTGAAATAGGATAAATTTATATATATGATAAAAAAAATTAGGTTAAAGAAAGGGGTAAAAAAAGGAAATAGATTCTAAAATCTATTCCTGAGCGTTCAGTAATAGGCTAATACCAGGGGGGCCCTAGTAATAGCTATTACCTTATTTGAGGTAATAGGCTATTACCAGGAATATTATTCCTGGTAATAGAAATGGTTACCAAACAAAGGAATATGCCTATTACTGGGAATGCTATGCCATTCCCGGCCTATTCCGTGAACCAAACGGGCCATTAATGTACATGGATATATATCAACGGTTACATAATGAGAGTAGGGTACTGAGTTTTGGGGTTCAATCTGATCTTGCTCTCTCCTTCTCTCTTCTTTTCTATACTATTTTCAGCATACAATATCATAAGATCTAACACGAGATTACGTTATAATTTTCAATACGTTATTGTTTTTCATCAATTCTCGGTGAACTGAGAGTTGCTCGATCGGATTAGATTTTTTGCGATTCCAATTCTAAAACCCTACAAGCTAGAAATTGAAAGTATTTACAAATCGTGTTTGCATGATCTCTTGTTAAATCTGCGTCTAAAGATTGAATCGTTGTGATACACTAACGCCCATGAGGTTCAGCGACTCTGCGAACCAACAACCATACTTTTTGTATCAACGAACCAGTCAATTTTCGCGACGGGCGATGGTAACGTAACCGTGAATTGATGACAATTTCTCCTTGGACAGTGTATTAATTTTCTAAAAGTTAATAAGTACCTTTTGTGTATTTTTTTTTTTTTTTTGAAAAAAGTGCCTTTTGTTTAATTCTTGCAATCTTGCATGATATATGTATGGTTTGTTTTTGGTACTACCCCAAGGAGTATAACGTATGCGTGTTATAAACCCATTATCAAAGTAAGATGAATGCTCTAAGCAAAGGCCAGATTTTGGTATATCTAATGTGACAAACAAGAAATATGTATGGCTTCTTTGGGTATGAGATAGTGAAATTCTTATCATATAAAACATTTAAAGTATTTCTTTTTCTTTAAATTTTTTTTTTCCTTTTCTTAAACTTTTATGCATTTCTTCCCAGTTTCTTGAAATAATAAAAGAGTCTTAAATTTCTAGGAAACCAAATGTTTAGATAGAGTTATTCCTAAAAATGTATCAGACTGTATTTATTATTTAAAAAAAAAAATAAAGAAGCTCATTCATTTAATCATAAGCTATTACAAATAGGATTGATGGAACGGTATACCATTCCTTACAGTAAGACATAGAACCAACTTCCCTAGTAATGCTACAAAGAACTTGAATCGCAGACTGTTTCACAAATTTGAAGCTGAATTCGTTAGATGAATTTAACGCTTATTTAATATCATCGAAGAATTGATCAAAAGTAGTCAAGACTAACTTTGGTTAAAAAGTCTTGCACACCACCTGAGTATATGTTTTCCATTTGTCGTTCATTGACAATATATCCATCGAGCTGAGATGCAGATGCTCTTTTACATTGTCATCTTTGTCACCAGGATGAAGTCCACATACGCCATGACCAACTTATATGTTTCACACTTATGAAGAAAAGAACTCGCCAAAAGCAATGAGAGGAAGCAAACTCGCCAAAAGAAACGAGAGGAAAAGAAACGAGAGAAAAACACATAAAAAAAAAACATAACACAAAAGAAAAGAGAAGCAGCAATACACCTCTTGAACTTTATTTTACGGATCCACGGAAATCAAAACACTTCTTTATCCAGATCTGGCGGAATTCTTAAGCTTTAGATCTTTGGAACTACCGCAACTTCCTTAAAGGGTTGATAGCTAAATCGGCACTGAATTTTATTATGAAACTAAAAAAAAAATACAAAAAAAAAAACAAAAAAAAAAAACAAAATAACCTCCGATCGTGGCTCCATGTTGAAACATATTAACATGTCATGTTAGTGGTAATATCTAATTTCACTAATGTATTAACATTATAAAAGGAGGAAGTTTTGGACATAGTGAAACTATGGTTGAAATGGTAAGGTCAATATTTTGTTGTGTGGCCTTACCAATATCATGCATTCTAATCATCTTTCAATAAATTCACACATATAAATTGTTAGAATATTAGGCTAAATATATTATGTTTTGTTTAAATTCAATCGTAAATTAGTATTTGGTCTAATATTGTTCTTTTATTATTTAGTTAAAATTATGAAAATGTCTATTTCTTTTCAATAATATGCAGATAATTCGAATTAGGGTAATATTTGTGTGAGATCGTCTCACGGATCTCAATTCGTGAGACGAATTAGATCTTTGATTAATGGGTTGAATTTTTTATTTCATTAATCAAATATCTGATCCGTCTCACAGATTGAGATCCTTGAGATAGTCTCACACAAGTTTTTACCTTCGAATTATATTTTATATTACTTTTACACATTTTCGAAAAAAATTATGTGACAATAATTTGTAGATAAATGATTGTTATTGGTTGATGGCTAAGTTTCCGTCTCGGCAACTAATAATAAGACAAACTGCCAATGGAAACATTTCGCATTCACGCCACATTTTTAATTCGTTTTTCTTTTATGTTTTTAAAAAATGCAATTAGGCCATGAACGGAAAAAAAAAAAGTGCAATAAGGTCATTGAACACTCAAAAAATGTGCAATTAGGCCACTGAACTCTCCAAACGTATGCAATTTTACCGGATAGCAGGTTACCATCAATTTTAGCAGGTTACCTACTTACGTGGCAGCTTAGTTGGCATTTTTAATAATTTTTAAATAATTGTTAATAATTAATTTTAATAATAAATTTTATAAAAAATTGGAAAAAATTAAATAAAAAATAAAATAAAGTTGTTTTTATTTTTAAAAAAAAAATTAATAAAAAGTTATTATTAAAATTTATTAAAAATGACAACTCAGCTGCCACGTAAGCAGATAACCTGCTAAAATTGAGGGTAACCTGCTATCAGGTGAAATTGCACATTTTTGGAGTGTTCAGTGGCCTAATTGCACTTTTTTTTTTCGTTCAGTGGCCTAATTGCATTTTCAGGTTACGTTCAGTGGCTAATTTGAACCTTATTCCAATTTTAAATAGTAAAAAAATACATTCTACCCCTATACTATTATCTGTTTTTTTTTTTTTCAACTTTAATTTGTAGTTAAAATGGGATAGAAAAATTCATACAATTTGAAATGAGATTGAAATTCATTTATATACTTAAAACAGTAAATAAGATTAAATTGGCAATAAAATCAATTATTTTAACTTTTTTGGTAAGAGTTAATTCCAATTTTTTGTTCTAGATTTATAGGTGACAGTCTCTTTTTAGTCATTTTTTATCAGAACATCCTCATTTAGTCTTAATATTATTGTGGCATGACCACTTTTAGTCCTCCTTCAACAAAATCGTTGAAATGTCATTAAATACAAAGACATTTCAATCTTTTTTATACAAAGTATGTTTAACCGTTATATTTTTATGTTTATTTTTTTGAAAAAAATCCGTAATTGAAGACTAAAATGTCCTTATATTTAACGATATTTAAATTTTTTATTGATAAATGACCAAATTGATCATGCCACAATAATAATACAACCAAAAGTGGATATTCTAATAAAAAGGACTTAAAGTGGATTGCCACTTATAAATTTAGGATTAAAAATGAAATTAACTCTTTTTGGTAATTACAATTCATACGAACATATTTAATTTAAAAAAATTATTTAAAAATTTTTCCAAAAAAATTAAAATCCAATACACTCTGATAAAAAGTTTATTATTATGATAAAACTTAAAACTTTTTTTCTACGAGGGAAACTAAAAACTATTGATAAAAATTTATAAAGTACGGAGTAATTGATAATATCATTATGTATTATAAAAATAAAAATATCACATTCCTAAGGTGGCACATGCCGTTAGATTCTTAGAAGAGTGGCATCACTTGACACGTGGTAGTTGTTAAACAGTTAGACTAGAGCAGGCGATATTTTCCCGAAACGTGTGCATGAACCCGAGAAATTAACCCGAACGACCCACGAGAAAAAGAACTAGCCGTTGGGGACTCGAAATTCAAAATCTCAATTCTTCACTGTCATTGCATTAGAAACCCTCATTTACTTATCCTCTTTCCATATTTCGATCCCTTCTCTCTCACCATTCTCATCTCTAAGTTGGAGCCGATACTCTTTCGCTTCTCAATTTCAGGTGCATTTTCGATTATCCGAATATATTTTTGGTAAGTTTTCCTTATCAATTTCAGGTGAAAATTTTGTGTTCTGTGAGGTTTCCTTTTGAAAATTTCCTTATTTATAAGTATGTTTCGTGGATTTAGATTCGTGGAATTTGAGTTTAAGTGATAGATGATTAATGTTTTAGGGAAGTTGTTATGGTAAGCACGGAGTGGATGAAATTTACCAGATCGGGACTATTCGTTGAAATTAGAAGGTTTTGATTTTGAAATTTGAAAATGTTTAATGCGGAAAGTGTTTGCGAGAGAAGTTCAATGAATTTTATCCGTAAATACTCATTTTAATGACGATTTTCGTAATTTGAAATAGAAATTTAGGGAATCTGTTTTCTCATTTTGCGTCTGACGATGCTAGTGATCCATTTCTGCAGATTTCACACAAAATATTGTAGAAAAGACAGCTAAAAGCGTTATTTTCAGCCTCTCTTGGAGAGGTCTCAGCCCCCCTATCTGTGAAATCAACTCAAAGTTGCAGTTGATAGTGAAGTGCTGGTTTAGTCAAGATGACGATTAAAGTTCCAGGGACGCCGGCCTCTAGGATAGAAAGGACACCGGCAAACACCCCGGCCTCAAAAATAGAAAGGACACCGGCAAGCACTCCGGGTGGGCAGAGATCTAAAGAAGACAAAATCATGGTTACGGTACGGTTGAGGCCATTGAACAAAAAGGAGCAGTCAGCAAAGGACAATGTAGCATGGGAATGTATTGATGAACACTCGATTGTGTATAAACCGATGCCCCATGAACGTTCACCTCAGCCAACCTCATTTTTTACTTTTGGTAATGAAATTGTTCAGTGATATCCACTTGGTCTACTGCCTGTTATTCGGATTGGAAAGAAACTAAGTTGATAATGTTAATCTCTTTCAGATAAAGTTTTTGGTCCAAATTCCTTGACTGAAACAGTATATGAGGAAGGGGTAAAGACCGTGGCTTTGTCTGCTTTAATGGGGATCAATGGTAAAATTTTATTTATATTGCTATGGTGTAGTCATAGATTTGGGAAAATATTTGTTATATCAATTTCTTTTTTATCAATTGCAGCAACTATTTTTGCTTATGGACAAACTAGCAGTGGGAAGACATACACAATGAGAGGAATTACAGAGAAAGCTGTCAATGACATCTACACACACATAATGAATGTAAGCTGCTTTTTTTTTTTTTTTTTTTTTTTTTTAAACTTAGGGTGGCCCAATATGGAAAAGATTGTTAGTAATTCTCCAGTTAAATGCCATGAGCATAAACTTAATCTTAGATCCAGTTTGTACAGTGATTTGTCTTTGTATCATTTCAAGAAGATGAATTCCAGGAGACAGGGATCACTTGTATGATTGATTTTTAAATAAAAGATAGTCTCTTGGTTTTTTTTTTTTTGGATTTTAATTCGTTATCCTCTTTACTACTTGCTTATCTTGTTTCCAGTGTATTAAGGGGTTTGGTGTAATTTATAGTGTTTTTTGCATTACTACAGACTCCAGAAAGAGAATTTAGAATAAGAATATCTGGACTAGAAATGTACAAATAAAAGATAGTCTGGTTCTTTTTTTTTTTTGGACTTTAATTCGTTGTCCTCTTTACTACTTGCTTATCTTGTTTCCAGTGTGCTGTCAATTATTAAGGGGTTTGGTGTAATTTATAGTGTTTTTTTGCATTACCACAGACTCCAGAAAGAGAATTTAGAATAAGAATATCTGGTTTCCAGTGTGCTGTCAATTATTAAGGGGTTTGGTGTAATTTATAGTGTTTTTTTGCATTACCACAGACTCCAGAAAGAGAATTTAGAATAAGAATATCTGGACTAGAAATCTACAATGAAAACGTCAGGGACCTATTGAATTCAGACTCTGGCCGCAATCTCAAACTTCTTGATGATCCAGAGGTAAATTAAAGTTGAATGCATTGGCATTTCATTTCAGAACCATTGATCTATATATGGCTTATTATTAACTGGTATTTAAATGTAGAAAGGGACTATGGTTGAAAAATTGGTTGAAGAAACAGCAAGCAGTGATCAACATCTGAGGCAGTTAATTAGTATTTGTGATGGTAAGCTTTTACTTAACATTTTGCGTTCTGCTAGCATACAATTGTATTATGCCCTTCAGTTTTTACAAGCCTATTATTTTTTATGCTGCAGCTCAAAGACAAGTGGGTGAAACTGCTCTTAATGATACTAGCTCAAGGTCTCACCAGATAATACGACTAGTAAGTTCCCTGAATGCAAACTATATTTCCAGGTCAAGTATTGCTAACAATAAATCTTTTAACCGATTAACTTATCTTTTGCAATGCAGACAATAGAAAGTACCCTTCGTGAGAGTTCAGATTGTGTGAGGTCTTTTGTAGCAAGTTTGGTAAGTGAAATTTTCCTTTTTTTGCTTCCGTAGAGTAGAAATGTTTGAATAACAGTCAGTTGATGGTTAATTATCTGCGCTAATGTTGCAGAACTTCGTAGATTTAGCCGGAAGTGAAAGAGCATCACAGACAAATGCAGATGGCATCAGGCTTCGGGAAGGATGCCATATTAACCTTAGCTTGATGACTCTAACAACTGTTATAAGAAAACTTAGGTTATTCACCAATACTATATACAACTATTCTGTTACCAAGTTTCTCCTTATCAGATTTCATTAAGTTCGTTATGTGCCATAAGCAGTTTCTTTCATGTCATTTTGTGCAGCACAATCGAAAGGTTTGGTGATTCGTTTTTTTATTGTTCTATCTATGCAGTGTGGGCAAAAGAAGTGGCCATATACCCTATCGAGATTCAAAACTTACACGCATTTTGCAGCATTCACTAGGTGGAAATGCCCGTACTGCTATCATTTGCACTTTGAGTCCTGCTTCTAGTCATGTTGAGCAATCCCGCAATACTCTCTTCTTTGCCACTCGCGCAAAAGAAGTTACAAACAATGCTCAAGTGAACATGGTATTTATATGTTTTCCAGGCAATAGATGAATAAGTGTTCTTGCAATCTTTTTGTTTTTATTCTGTATGATTACTAAACCATGCTTTTCTTGTATCAATTATATGTCTTTCAGGTCGTTTCCGACAAACAGCTTGTCAAGCATTTGCAGAAGGAGGTTGCTAGACTTGAAGCAGAGCTGCGCACACCAGATGTTTCATATGAGAAAGATTTAAAGATCCAGCAGGTGGCTATTAAGTGATAATAATATTGTACATTTTGAGATTGAACAGATGATAGCCATTTACTAATCTGATCTCGGTTGTGGCTCTCTTAGATGGAGATGGAAATTGAAGAACTGAAGCGTCAAAGAGACCTTGCACAGTCACAGGTGGATGAATTACGCCATAAACTTCAGGAGGAGGAACAGGTTTGTCCCAGCTCCCCAGTCTCTCAGTGTGTGTGTGCAAACTTGTGCATGTCTATATCTATTAGCCACTTAATGTTGAGTTCAAATTTAGGTTTTAAAGCCATCCGGGTCGACTGGTGCAAAGAAGTGTCTCTCCTTCTCTGCCATATCGTCTCCAAACCTTGAGCAGAAGGAACCTGTTCGTTGTCAAACAATGAGAAATGCAGTGGGGAGGCAGTCGCTAGCTGCTCCTTTCACACTGATGCATGAGATTAGAAAGCTTGAACACCTTCAGGAACAGCTTGGAGATGAAGCGAATCGAGCACTGGAAGTACTGCAGAAGGAGGTTGCGTTTCATAGACTAGGCAACCAAGATGCTGCAGAAACGATAGCAAAGCTACAAGCTGAGATCAGGGATATGTGTTCTGTCCGGGCAGCTCCCAAACAACAAGTCGAAGCTGGAAACGAAGTTGCTGTCAACAAAAGTGTCGGTGCTAACCTCAAGGAGGAGATAGCAAGACTTCATTCTCAGGGTAGCACAATTGCTAATATTGAGGAGAAGTTGGAGAATGTTCAAAAGTCATTAGACAAACTAGTAATGTCGCTTCCAAGTACCAATGATCCATCAAAAAAGAAGAAACTGCTACCATTAGCATCAAGCAACAGCGTGAACAGATATCCATGTTCTCCTCCTCTATCAGCTACTACCCAAGTACTGGATCCCGAGATTGAAAATAGAGACCCAGAATTTTATGATACTGTGTCCACAGAAACTCTGCCAGTCTCTGAAAAGGAAACCCCGACAAAAAGTGAAGGAAGAGAAGGCACTCCTTATCGACGTTCTAGCTCTGTCAACATGAGAAAAATGCAGAAGATGTTCCAAGATGCAGCAGAAGAGAATATCAGAAGCATTAGAGCATATGTCACAGAGCTTAAAGAACGCGTTGCCAAGCTGCAGTATCAGAAGCAACTCCTCGTATGCCAGGTAAACCCAGTTTTTATTTCAATGATCTTCTAAGCTCCACAGTTAACTACGAACTTCAATTTATTGTGCTGGAGAGGTATCAGAATGTTGAGCCATTATTTTGTCATCCACATTTCAGGTGCTTGAGCTTGAAGCAAACGAAGCAGCTGGATACACTTTGGAGAATGAAGAGAACATTCCTGAGATACAAGAGTCCCCAGCTTCATGGCATATAACCTTTAGGGAGCAAATGCAACAGATTATTGACTTATGGGATGTTTGCTTTGTCTCAATTATACATAGGTCACAGTTTTATCTGTTATTTAAGGGAGACTCTGCTGATCAGATATACATCGAAGTTGAAATAAGGCGATTGACATGGTTACAACAGCACCTGGCAGAGCTTGGAAATGCAAGCCCCGCTCAGTTAGGAAACGAGCCTACTGTTTCTTTATCATCAAGGTTTGTTTGTTTCTTCTTGCTCTCTCCCACTTGAAGACCTTATTGCCCTCTAGTACAGCTAGAATTTAACATTACCCTTTGTGTTAATTCAGTATTAAAGCACTGAGGAGGGAGAAGGAATTTCTTGCAAAAAGGTTGACACGTTTGACACCCGAGGAAAGAGATGCACTGTACATTAAATGGGAAGTTCCATTGGAAGGGAAAAATAGGAGGCTGAACTTCATTAACAAGCTGTGGACAAAGCCACAGGATCCAAAGCATGTACAAGAGAGTGCTGAGATAGTGGCAAAGCTTGTTGGTTTCTGTGAGAGTGGGAATATGTCAAGGGAGATGTTTGAGCTCAATTTTGTTATTCCAAATGATAAGAGGTCATGGTTTATAGGATGGGACCAAATTGCAGACCTTCTTCATCTATGAGAAGGTACTATTCTTCAAGTAAATTGCATCTTTACAAGTTTATTCCATTCATTTATTTTGGTGCAGCATGTACAAAAAATGTTTGGAGTCTCCCAATTTTGGAGTCTCTTGGGGGTTGTGTTCCAGCCCCCTATTCTATATGTTGTGAGTAGTTTACACTAGTATAACTGGAATTTGAGGCATAATGTTATGCTCATTGTCATTCTGCTGAATAAATGATCCATAGCCCAGGTGCCATTCTGTGCTGCAAGAGCTAGTATGCATATTGAAAGATATCTTGACCTGATTTAAATAAGAAAAATACACACTCTGACAGTAGAATATGAACTCAGAAAATTTCTTTGTTACAACACCTGTTATAATAATTGCTTAAACCAAATCGAAAATGTTAACCGTTTCAATCGTCTTCTTCAATTTGAGAAACAATTTCTTTAAAAGTTTCGTAAAGATATTTGCAATTTAACATTCAACTGAGCAATACTCAAAGTTAATTTGTTTTTCAGCAATCAATTCTCTGATTTTGTGATACTTGATATCAATGATTTTGCGTTGGCGTTATGCGGAGCCGGGCTCCTAAGTAACAATATAATTATTATTAAATTAAAGGGGCGTTTTGAGGAAAAACTAATCTTTCTTCAAAATGTCAAACTGAAATGCTGCAAGTTTTCAACAGTTTGAAGTAAACCACTGAATAACAAAAACATTTTCTTTAGTGTTTTCTCCAAGGACAAAACGCCAAAATGATGGATCTCCGTTGTGTACAAACAAGTCCATAACTATAAATGAAGCATCAATTTCTTAACTTTGTCCCCGATAAAGGGAGATAGCCATGTAGTTCAAGGATGAAGTTTATGTATGAAGACAAAAGAGACAAATCAAGTGCATAATGCATATAATTTTTATTTTTTTTTGGGTTTATTTCATATTTGTAACAAGAATATTCAAAATTTGAAACAATACATATTTTAAAAAATGTTGAGAGAGACAAATTTTTCCCTAAATAGTGTTGTTATTCTTTGTATGCTAGAAGAAACAAATTCTTTTTATTTATTAGATATTTTTAACATGTCCTAAAAAAGATAAATACATAATTGAAAATTTTTTGTAAATTTTCATAGAAAAAAGACTCTTAGGGGATGTTTGGTTCATGGAAAATGTTTTCCTTTGGGAAGGAAAATGTTGTTTTCTAGTGTTTGGTTCATAGAATTCATTTTTCAATTGTAAAATGAATTCCTCAAATTTGAGGAAAACAAAATCCTTAGTTGGACTAAGGATTTTATTTTCCATGAAAGATGGGAAGAAAAAGTGAATAGATTGCCTATTTTACCCTTGTTTTCTTTTTTAATTATATTACTTTTATTAATTTGTAGGGGCATATAGGTATTTATACTCATTATTTCTTACAATTCCAAATCTAACCAAACAATAGAATTCGTATTCCCAGTCATTCTTTTTCCACCAACCAAACAATGAAATTCATCTTCTTTGTAATTGTTTTTCCATGAAATTCGAATTTCACTTCCCTTAAAATATTTTCCGCGAACCAAACGAGCCCTTAGCTCTCCTAGATGAGATTTATTTATTTCTAAATTTATTTAAGCCGGCAAGACTCTGCCCCTAGACCCACTGCGAGGGACTTACTTTTTTTTGATATCATGAAATTAAATTTTCATTGGCTTGAACTTTTTTGATATCATGAAATTAAATTTTCATTGGCTTGAACTTTTCTAAGTCAAAAATTGCTACAAATGAAAAAGTAAATTTCCACCTTTTAAATTTTCAAGAAAGTTCAAACTTTCGTGACTATTAAACGCCCTCTTAAAGTCTTGCATTGATAAATAAATTTTGAGGAGACTAATAATTAGAAAGTTTTGATCTTTCTAGTAAAGTATTTAACTTAGAAGAGTAATTTTATTCCAAAACCCTAATTTTATTGAAGGGGCAAATCGAGTACTGCAGGAGGTTTTATTCCATACTCTATAGACAAGGCTGCAGAAACTACAGCAAAATGCAAGTAATACAGCTAGAATTTGGATAAGCTCTATACTGAACATCATTTGGGAAGCAGAATCATATCTAGTTATATAGCTTCTCATATCATAGCTAGAGTGATTAAATATTTTACAAGATGAGGAGATATATAGGTCCCTACTCCCTAGTTCACATCTTAAAAGTATTGTTAAGGAGGAAATTGAACGCCATTAGTTCCGGTGACCAGAAGAGAGTGAGCGAGCAAGCGCCACTGCTCCAGCTATCTGCAGATCATTGCAATTTTGGCACTCATTAGTTCAGTAGTTTTAGAACTTACGCCAAAAACTATAGCTAGTAGCAAAGACGTAACTTTATTTCCTAATTCTGTCTTGCATTTTCAAGACGCTGGGTGCTGGACTTGGCCTTTACCAGCCTCCGCTCAACAACTATTGAGAAAAAAATCGAGAGCATTTATCGCTAAGAAAAGTACACAAGACTAGAAGAGGCATAAAAACCATTACCATGCAATGTGAAGGAAGCTGCCATGGCCTCTCGCATTTGAGAACTTGTAAACAGGCCAATGAACTGGTCATAGAAGAGTTAAGAATCATCATAACCCATAAATTAAGTTAATATGTGCATAGCTCTATTTTGTAAACAGGCTTAGAAAATTAGCTCGAGAAGTACCTTCACAACATCCAACTACTGGATCCTCCGCCAGCAAAAGTGGTGAGTATAAGTTGACGAATCTGCAAACAAAGCCAAAATTCGAAGATGAAAAGCCCGTTATGGAAAGGTGCAATGCTGAAAATCGTCGTGAAAATAACGTAAAAAGCTTACTTGAAACACCCTAGACCAGCAGCTAGGTGACCAGCAAAGCCCGTGGCAAGCCTACTTTCGACCATACTACTAATCATCAATTTCAACCCGAAATTCCTAGCCAACTCAATAATTTCAAGAGCCCCAACTACTCCAACTTTAGCGAGTTTAACGTTAATTACATCAGCCAGATTTTCTTCCGCTATTTTCCTAACATCTGCCAAACTCAGACAGCTTTCATCAGCAGCAACAGGCACCCCGTAATTCTGTTTTGCAAAGCGACTGACACGACCAAGGCCTTCCCAATCATCTCTACGAACGGGTTGTTCAAAGAGGATAGGAGTCACACCCATTTCTGGAAACGGAACAGGGTCAGTTTCCAATTCCAGCAAAAGATACGAGACAGATCATAAATTTATGTATTTACCGTGCAGTTTTTCAAGAACTTGGATAGCTTCTTTCGAGGAGTAACCTCCATTAGCATCTAAGATAAACATACAATCTGGATAGGCTGCATGTATGGCTCGTATCACTTCTATATCCTCGTTCAAATCCTTGCCCACCTTAAGCTTTAGGGTCTTGAATCCTTGTTTACGATAATCCCGAGCTAGTTCTGCTGCTTCAGCAGGCAATACTATTGGAATCTGAAAACCGGACCAAATAATGTCAACTTCCCAGGGAAGGTATTGGTCGCATATAACGTGCAATCCAACTATTAGCTTAGGCTTTTAGTTGAGATAGAGCACATGCTTCAATTTGGTATTAGGGGCGTGTTGAGCATATAACCTGCAATCCAACTATTAGCTTAGGCTTTTAGTTGAGATGGAGCACATGCTTCAATCTGGCCCTCCGACTTTCCTATCATTCTTCTTTTAGTAAGTCAATATCTTTTCAGGGATTTGGCTTCATTGTTTCTAGTGGTGGATTGTTATATTAGTTCTTGAAATATATTATAGGAGCCAACAATATATTCAAAAGGTTGATTTAAGCAGAAGAAGAAGGAAACCAAACCGTTATATCTGTGGTAATTGTGTTGGAAGTTCCACCAAATAGTCTCCAAAGAGGTATTCCAATGCTGTTTGCGAGGGCATCAATCAGCGCCATCTCCACTCCTGCTCTGACCTTCAATTAAAAATTGAGTTAATTCCCGACTATAATAGTTTTTCTGGATTTAGTCATAAACGTCTTTTTCTGCTTAATTCGATCCTCTTTATTAATACCCAATTTAGTTTTGGACTATGGTGGTTTTACCTAAATTAGTCTTTCACAACTTCTTTCCATGGCTCGGAACCACAAAACCATCGGGTTGTTCCATCTAACTCGCCATTTGAGAAAGCGGTTTTAACATCCATTTGAGACTATGGTGGTTAATACTCAATTTAGTCATGAATTAAAGTGGTTTTTCTGGATTTAGTCCTTGATTCTAACCATCCAAATCAATGACTCAATTATGCATAAAAGTAGACATTTAGGTGTAAATCGACAAAATCCACTAGTCGAGACCATGGTTGCAGTAGGCGCTAGGCACTAGTCAGACGGTAGAGTAGCGCCTAGTGCCTAGATGACCGGGTTAATTCGGCTAACTCAATTGAAATGGACAACTTAACTCGGCCGAATTCGATCGAGTTAGGCGCTAGTCGGCCAATTTAAGCGCTAGGCGGCCGGTTTCTAGGTGGGTGCCTAGGGGAAAATCGCCACGGTCTAGGTGTATTTAGGCAGGCGCCTAGACAGATTTTTGCAACAGTGATCGAGACTAAATTTGGTATTAACTCATTAAAAATTCAACCAAGTTAGGAAATTGGAAGCAAATTCATAAATTAATCCAGTAACAGGGTATGCAGTTGATTTTAGCCTACTCCAATTCAGTTCATTTCAACATGGCATAACTTATAATAAGATCAAGTGACATAATTGTAAGATTTCATAATTCAATCGAAAAAAATCATTAACAAGACAACTCACAGAAGCAAATTGGTGACCAGGAAGAATGCTATGAACATCTCTCAACACGGCCTCCATAGTCTTCCCAGTAGGGGTGTTCAATCGGTTAACCGTTCGGTTAACCGAACCGTTTTAACCGAACCGAATTAACCGAAGTTTTTTTTCCTTTAACCGTTAACCGAACCGAAGTTTGCTCTACCGAATTCACCGAACCGAAATTTTTTTCGGTTAATCGGTCGGTTAACCGATTAACCGAACTTTTTAAAGCTAAAATTTAAAATTCTAAAAATAACACTTAAAATAATAAATCGCATTAAAATAAAATACATATCATAATACATTCATAACAAAATATAAATAACATGAATTATAAACTCCAAACATCCATAATTTCAAATTAGTATTTATATTTATATTATTATTTTTATATATATATTAAAAACTTCGGTTAACCGTTCGGTTAATTCGGTTAACCGACCTTTCGAACCGAATTAACCGTTAACCGAAATTTTAAAATTCCTTTAACCATTAACCGAACCGAAAAAGTTCGGTTCGAAAACGGTTAACCGAACTTTGTCGGTTCGGTCGGTTAACCGAAAATTATCCGAAGTTTGCACACCCCTACTTCCCAGGACTCTCTCTCAAGAACTCACAAGCTCCAGCCGCCATAGCCAGAGCACTTGGCTGATCCTCGGCAGTGACGGAGGGGAAAACAGGAGCCTCCCCCCACCCAACACACCCATTGCTGAGCTCAACCTTAATGGCCACATTCTCCACCTTATCAAGCCTTGATGAGGAAATGGCGAAAGGGGCAAGAAGAGGCACGTTGAGTGGCCTCACCTCAGCTCTCTGGACTTCAACTGTGAATATCTCCGTCATATTCTTGAACCCAAAGCTGGCGGGCTTCAACTCCGGCGGCGGCGCCATGCAAGCTGTGACGAATCTGGCGGAAGGAATCTTGAAAGATGAGGGTTTGGTGTGGAGGGGAGAGCAGAGTGGGAGAGAGTGAAGAGAAAGGGGAAGTGGAGCCATTGTTTTGGAGAATGATTATTGGGGTTTGGTAATGGAGACGAGAGATGTGAAGAATAGCCATTGCTAGAATATGATTTTCTCTTTTTTTTGTACCGGTCGATGTTGACATTTTATTTGTAAGTATTAAAGAACAAATCAGAAGCAGACTAGCAAAGAGAAGGAAGGAGATAGCCAAGTTGTTTAGGGGTGTTGCTGACCTTTCTTTACTCTTCTAGAATCAGTTGTAACCACCCCTTCCCGCCATTATATTCTATATATAGTTGGTTGTAACCTTCCCGGAGAGTAATGAGAAAATATCTTCCCTTTCAATACATGCCTTCTGTTCCTTCATACTCCGAACATGTCTTCGCCGGCTTCCGTCATGGTATCAGAGCCACGGCGAGGTAGTTACGCCGCCGCTGTTATTGGTTCCGGCAAATCCAGTCAGGGGACTCATCCTGCGTCTCCGATCAATAGATCGCCTACGCGACCGTCTCCGATGAGCAATCCGCAGAGGATCAACAATCCGCAGAGGAATAATGACAAGGCAGAGCAAATGTGGAATGATCTGAGAAAGAGGTTCTCACAGCGAGATCCTCACCGAATTTCATCTCTACAGAACGAGATATACTTGTTGAAGCAAGGTAGTTCATCAGTGAATGACTATTACACTCGATGCAGGATCCTTTGGGAACAGATGAATGAATTGAGACCTCTACCAGTCTGTAGATGCGATCCCAGGTGTTCGTGCAGCCTTCTTGAGGAAATCCGAACTGAGCGAGAGATTGACCAGATAATCAGGTTCCTACAGGGTCTCAATGAAGGATATAACTCTCTGAAGTCCAGTGTTCTGGAGTTAGATCCCTTACCTGACATGCATAAGATATTTGTCATGGCTGAAAAATTTGAGAAACAATTAAACATTGCAAACATGAATCTGACTGGAATAGAACTCAGTCACGCAACTGCTGCTGTTACCCTCATTCCAAAATTCAATGAAGCAGAATCGGAGAAGGAAAGCAAGTATTATCCTAATACTCATATAAACTCAGTCTCTTTACATTCTTTCTCTTGGATTTTGGACTCTGGTGCGACTGATCATATAGCATGTTCTCTGGATTCTTTTGATGATTATTATGTGGTTGAAGGAACTATGGTTAATCTGCAAAATGGGAAACACATTAGAGTTGAACATATGGGGAACATAACACTTGGGGATGGCATATGCTTGAAAAATGTGTTACATATTCCCTCCTTTAAGTTCAACATCATATCTGTTAGCAAATTGCTCAATAATTCTCCTCACCTCCTAACTTTTACCAATGATCAGTGCATTCTTCGGGGGAGTCATGGGAGGACAGTTGGTTTTGCTAAAGAAGAAAATGGCTTATATCTACTGCTTGAACCACCTCAGATTACTGTTAATTCATGTAAACTTTCTGCTATGTCATGTACTGCCAAAACTTGGCATCAAAGGCTTGGACATTTTCCCATGAATAAAATGAGCCTTGTATGTGATATTTCTGTTCCTCACAATAAGAATTTTGCATGTGATGTTTGCCATTATGCGAAGCATAAAAGGTCCTGTTTCCCTTAAGTAATACAGTATCAGACACTTGCTTTGAACTGATGCATGTTGATATTTGGGGCCCTTTCTTGGTTCATTCTTTGGGAGGGGAACGTTACTTCTTAACCATGGTAGATGACCACTCAAGATATACGTGGATACACCTAATGAAGCACAAGTCTGAAACACAGTCCCTGATCAAGAAGTTTCATAAATATGTTCATACTCAATTTGGATTGCCTATCAAGACCATACGCAGTGATAACGGTTTGGAGTTTAACATGGTGGAGTTCTTTGCTGAGCATGGTATAATACATCAAAGGTCTTGTGTGAACACCCCACAACAAAACGCAGTGGTGGAACGTAAACATCAACATATTTTGAATGTAGCTAGAGCCTTGCGTTTTCAAGCTAATCTCCCATTATTTTTTTGGGGGCAATGTGTGTTGCATGCAGCTTTTCTTATTAACAGGCTTCCTTCACCAGTTATCAATTGGTCCAGCCCCTATCAAAGACTATATGGGAAGCCACCAGATATCAACAATTTAAGGGTGTTTGGATGCCTATGCTATGCGTCTACACTGCCTCAATCTCGCCACAAGATGGCAGCTCGCAGCAGAAAGTGTATTTTTGTGGGAGTTCCAGCAGATATTAAAGGTTACTTGATGTTTGATCTTCAAGAAAACTCTATTTTTATCTCACGAGATGTGACATTTTATGAGGAACAATTTCCTTATGCTGAAGGATACAAGAACAAAGATGAGATTGAGCCTGCCCCCCCACCCCCCTGCCTATTATTCCCATTTTTGGCTGTGAAGAGTTCAATTTTCAGGACCATTCTGGTGTCCAACCACAATCCTCAACCACACATATTAATGAAGAAGGATCAGTTCAGATAGCTATTGACACCAGTAGTCCCTCAGTTTCTCCAATTGACAACACTGGCAGTTCCCCCATGTCAAACTCTGAGCATAATGAAGCAGGAAACATAGATGCAGATAACACGAGCACAACTTGCTCAAACTCTCCCATTCAGCCCCGAAGATCAACCAGGGAACGACATATGCCAAATAAATTACAAGATTATTACTGTGACATAGCTACTACAATTGGAACATCACCACATCCTCTATCAAAGGTGATATCCTATAATGATCTTGAGCCCATGCACAGAGTGTTTTCCATGGCAGTGATCAACAATAGCGAGCCAAGAGCTTACAGCCAAGCCATCAAACATGATTGCTGGAAGAAAGCAATGGAAGCAGAGATTGATGCCCTCCAACAGAATCAAACATGGGAATTGACACAACTCCCCCCCGGGAAAGTTCCTATAGGCTGTAAATGGGTATATAAAGTGAAGCTCAAGGCTGATGGTAGTGTGGAAAGATACAAAGCAAGGCTCGTGGCCAAAGGCTATACGCAACAACTAGGCATAGACTATCTCGAGACGTTTTCTCCAGTAGCAAGAATAACTACCATCCGAACTTTCCTTGCAGTGGCAGTTTCCAAAGCTTGGCACATCCACCAAATGGATATAAACAATGCCTTTTTACATGGTGATCTAAATGAAGAAGTATACATGGTGCTACCACCTGGATTTCAAAGTGAGAAACCGAATCAAGTTTGCAGACTTCTACGATCCCTATATGGCCTCAAGCAAGCGAGCAGGCAGTGGAACGCAAGATTGAGCATGTCTCTGATTCAAAATGGTTTCAAACAGTCAAGCTCTGACCCCTCTCTGTTTACAAAAGGAGCTGGGGAAAATTTTATTGCTCTACTAGTTTATGTTGACGACATTATTGTGGCTTGTGCTAACATGGAACCAATTCGTCAACTGAAGCTATTTCTGGATAGCACTTTCAAGATAAAAGATATGGGAACTCTAGGATATTTTCTGGGGATCGAGGCTAAGGCAGAAGCAGACGGATTAAATATTTGTCAACGCAAGTATGCATTAGACATACTGGAAGAGACTGGCTTTCTTGGTTGCAAGCCTGCAAATACACCAATGGTGCAAGGTCTTAAATTAAGTCATGGTGATGGCATACCTCTTGAAGATATCAGTAGCTATAGAAGGTTGATTGGGAGATTGCTATATCTCACGGCAACAAGGCCTGATCTTACCTTTGCCATCCAACAACTCAGTCAATTCATTGATGCTCCTACAGACAAACATATGTCTGCTGCTCATCGGGTGCTCAGGTATATCAAAAAATCTCCAGGCCAGGGACTTTTCTATCCTGCCAACATGAACATGGAACTCAAAGTCTTTTCCGACTCAGATTGGGCAGCCTGTTGTGACACACGAAAATCAATAACTGGCTACTGCATATTCCTAGGTCCTGCACTGATTTCGTGGCGTGCCAAGAAACAAGTCACTATATCTCGCTCATCCTCCAAAGCCGAATATCGTGCATTGGCTGCTACCGTATGTGAGGTTCAATGGCTCACTTACATTCTACGTGATTTACAAGTTGAATTAATCAGACCAGCGACAGTGTTTTGCGATAACAAGTCGGCTATTGCCATCGCCGAAAACCACGTCTTTCATGAGCGTACCAAACACATTGACATTGACTGTCATATAGTACGCGAGAAGCTGAGCCAGGGATTAATTAAACTGCTATCTGTTCCGACAACCAGCCAGGTTGCTGATGGCTTTACAAAGCCTCTACCAGTAACTCAATTCCAACATTTCATCTCTAAGCTGGGCATACAAGACCTGCATGCGCCAGCTTACGGGGGTATTAAAGAACAAATCAGAAGCAGACCAGCAAAGAGAAGGAAGGAGATAGCCAAGTCTGTTCAGGGGTGTTGCTGACCTTTCTTTACTCTTCTAGAATCAGTTGTAACCACCCCTTCCCGCCATTATATTCTATATATAGTTGGTTGTAACCTTCCCGGAGAGTAATGAGAAAATATCTTCCCTTTCAATACATGCCTTCTGTTCCTTCATACTCCGAACATGTCTTCGCCGGCTTCCGTCAGTAAGATGCGGGATGTGGAGTATTTATATATAAGTATTTCCCACAAATTTTATTTTGGAATAACGCACATGTGAGAAATGTAATATGGTCTTTTTTTTTTTAAATACTGACATGTGTGTGGGTGTTCAAACTCTTGACATCTCTTAATCTTAAAGGATAAGAGTATAGGATCCTTCACATCAATCAAGCTAGTTATGTAATTTGGTTATTGTCTGCATGGGCAGCTCAGTTGGTTATATGGGTAAAGTTTGGAAAGAATGACCAAGATTGAATCTCATCAGCAGTTTGAGAGCAACCTCTCAAGTGAGGGGGCTCCTTGTGCACAGTAAGCATAGGTCTAGACATCCTCCCAGATGCTCTGTCAGCCCGGAGTGTGGGGTGCCCTTAGAGTTGGGAATTCAACCTTTTTGGAAACAATGTAATTTGGTTATTTAATTCAAAAAAAATTGCATTTATGTTATTGAGTAATTTAAAATTATACAAGAATAAATTTTACTTTTGGTCCTTTGACAATTGTACATGTATCAAATTGGTCATTAACTATTACGGAGTAATATTTTTAAATTAGGTGCATGACTATATAACTTGTATCACATTTGGTCCTTGACTATTAATATTTTCAAATTAGGTTGCCTGACTTTGTAATTTATATAACATTTAGTCCTACCGTCAAATTTACTGACCAATTATTGCCTGAATTTCAACGAAAAAAATAATTGTTCCTGCAATTATTTCGCTGAAAATCTCTTTTAATTATAACATACTATTTTTTCCGTTGAAATTTCAGCAATAGTTGGTCAAAAACTTGGCCAGAAAATTAGACGGCATGACCAAATATGATACAAATTACATAGTTATGCATAGGCATGTGCATCAGACGGATCAGATCGGATCGGATATGCAATCCGTCCATCCGATCGGATTTCAGATTGCATTTTACCAATCCAATCCGTTATTTTTTGTACTTAAAAACCTATCGGATGTCGGATTTTGGATTTCATTCGGATTTCAAAAAGTCATTAATAATTGAATAACTGAAACAAAATATTACTTTAGTTTAATATATTGTTATACTCTAAGTCTCCATTAACAAAACAAGTAATAACTAATAAGTAAACAAAATAAAACAAGCAACAACTTAATAATTTTCAGAGCTAAATAACAAAAACATCAAACATATAATAATTTAATTTTACAACAAAAATTGCAAAAGTAAACAAAAATACAAAATTAATCTAAGTTTAAGTGTTTAACTTCCAAAAAATTAAAAAAAAAAAAGTTAATCACTTAAACTTCAGCAATCATTCCAATCAACATCTTTACAGCAAATCTGCTGACAGCAATCAGCATTTCTACACTTCTTCCTGTTAATATCAAAACTTAAAACAATATTAGGCATCATATTAAGTAAACAGCTAACTAAGTAACAATATTATGCTGTATGGGCATTAGGTTAATAGCCTTATAGGCTCAGATTGCAATTTTTCATTTCAAGTAATGATAGGGGCAAGTTGCTCCAAATGTGTTATAATAGCACATGAGCAACACAGCAACACCTACCATTTGTTCAGACAAAGGTGGGAGCATCAACATGGCCAGCCAAATAAATAATAATGCATTAAAGGAATACAAAGGTGGAAGCATCATCAGAGAATTAGAGATTTAGAGGAATACCAGAAATCCAGAATGGAAGAAATGGGTCATCAGTACTCAGTACTCAATAGACAGTAGTACTCAACTCAAGTACTCAACGCATCTAAGTGCGGCAACATTTCCATAATAGAATTATAGAAAGTTGCCAAACCTCTTAGACAGTTAGACTCTTAGAGTTTCATCTTGTGAAGGCCAACAACAAACAACAGTACAACACCATAACAGATAAAGATAAGTAATTAGTTAACACATAAGGCTGCTGATGAGCAGGTTTCTCAGTGCCTTGGGCTTGTCCTCCATGTCCCTCTTGAGTTGAGTGTTGAGGTCCAGAATCAGGAACATTGATGCTCTCCATCTAAAATGATGGGCATCGGTTAAAGGTCCAACAAA